CAGAGGAGTCCTCAGGGAAACCAAGGAAGACACAGGGGACGGCACGAGGCGAGAGCTTGTCCGCGGAGGTGTCGCGGACAAGAGCCAAGCACCCCCAGACACGAAACCGCGACGCAACACCAGGGGACCCTGTCCAAAGACTGGTCGGTGAAACCTCTGGTCGAGAGACACGTGGCCAGAGGTTCAGCTGGTGCGCGGCGTACCTGACCGCGTAGGGCCACAGAAAATGGGGGGCACAGGCGTGAGTCAGGGAGGTGCGGGCGATCTCCATGACCAGGCCTATGCGGCGCTCAGCAACCCCATTCTGCTGTGGGGACTCTGGAAGCGTCCAGGACTGACGAATGCCCTGCTCGCGACAGAATCCAGCGAGAATGCCGGAGCGAAACTCACCCCCACGGTCGGAGTGGAGGCAGCTGACACGACGACCACGTCTGTCCTCGATGGTGAGCAACCACCTGATCAGCGTAGAAGTCACCTCAGACTTCTTCGCCAGAGGGAACACTGTGGTGTAGCGGGAGAAGTCGTCAACGACCACCAGAAAGTAGCGCTCACGCTCAGGGCCTAGACGAGGGGCGGGGCCCCAGACGTCCAAGTGAAGCGTCTCAAAAGGCTCGGTGGCCGGACGAAGGGAGGAGGAGTGAGGGGCGGCGCGCAGCCGACCCTCGACGCACGGACCACACGGCGGCGCAAGCGAAGGCGGCAGCGACGGCAAGACACGTGGGAGGCCTAGGACAAGACGCTGACTAGACATAGCGCGCAGACGAGGAAGGGACGGGTGCCCCATCCGGTGGTGCCACAGAACGGTGGGGTGGGCAAGCGACCGGCAGGAGCACGACGCAGCGACTGGAGCAGACGTAGGAACCTGACACGACACAGACACCTGGGGGGACGAAGCAACCTGGTGAGACGCGGGGACCCGAACGGGGGGGGGAACCGGGGGCAGTGGCAGTAGGGGCGGCTGCTGGTGCGACCGCTGGTGCAGCTGCTGCTGCTGCTGCTGCTGTGGCTGCGGCTGCTGCTGCTGCTGCGGCTGCTGCTGCTGCGCACGCGGGCCAGTGTGAAGAGTGTAGAGACCTGAGCCCGGCTCAGCAGTAAAGGTAGCAAGAGGCTGGTAAGAGTCTCCGTCAACACACACCGCAGTCTCTCCAGAAGGCTCAAACCACACACCCACGTGCTGACTCACGAGGGGTCGCACGCCCACCAAGTTCCGGGAGAACGAGGGGACGTGAAACCCAGTGAGAGACCCGGAGGGAGCAGCAGGACACGGTAAAGTGGTAGTGTGACGTGCAGTGACTGGTCCCGTAGTGGGATCAGCCAAAGCCACAGAAACAGGCGCAGGAAGTGGTGTAAGTGTCGTGCTGTCCCGGAAGAAGCAGTGTGAGGCTCCAGAGTCCAGCGTGAACGACAGCGAAGCGTCCTCTGAGGTAGTCGCTGGTCTAGAGTCTACACAAGAACCTACACTAGCAACAGGCAACTGAGCAAGACTAGCACCTAAGCTAACAACACCAGAGTAAACAGAGTCAGAAACACTAGAGTCAACAACAGCATACATAGCATGAGGAGCACCAATCAGATCAACTAACTGCTCAGCAGACATGCCCCACAGAGCGGAGCCGTAGCGCTGAACCAGAGGAAGCCAGTCAAGAGCAGGACCGCCAACCCCGTAGGCCAACCGGACCGTGTCAGTGAGCTGAGCAAAAGCACTGACCAGGGGGGTGAAAGCGGCCACAAGGGTGGCCCCGACGAGGACCTGTCAGAACCTAATAGGTGCAGGGAGGGTAAGAAGCACCGCGCTGGGGCTGACGCAGCCCCGACCCCGGAGCCAGCTGCTGACGCTGCTGCTGCTGACGCTGCTGCTGCTGAGGCTGGCGGGAGGAAAGGGGTTGCTGCTGCTGCTGAAGGTGCTGCTGACGCTGAGCCTGGTACCACGCCGCTGCTCCACCTAGCGGGGTCGGCAGTACAGGAGGCGACTGACGAGCTCGGGGGTCGCCGCCACCAGCAGGCGCAGTGGAGTCACCAGCCGCTGCACGAGGGGTCTCTCCAGACGCTGCACTCCCACCACCGCCAGTCGCAACAGCACCCCCACTACCTCCGCTACCTCCACCTCCACCTCCACCAGAACTACCTTTCTTGCCCCCCTTGCCGCGGGACCGCGACGCAGTCGTAACAGCAGCCGCAGTCGCGTCAGTAGCAGCAGTGGCGAGAGAGGCAGTGAAGGTGGGTAACTGCGGGACTGTGCACCCGTGGAAGAGTGGGGGGGACACAGTACCAGAGGCGGCAGCTACCGAGCGAAGGTTGCTCTCGACGTCCTTGAGTGCAGACTCAAGGACCTCGATAGTCAGCTCACTAGGGTGCTTCAGCAGAAGCGCATCACGAACGGAGGCTAGGCGGTCAGGGAGGCTAGTGGCGATGAAATAGACAGTAATCGCCATGGGGGGAGGAAGCAGTGCAAGCTGTGCCTCAGTGCAAGCAGCGCGGTAACTAGCGTCGAGCGAGCGGAGGTGAGCGATCAAGTCAGCAGAGCGCTCAAACGAGGCGAGATCAGGAAACAAGAACGGGAGGAAAAGATGGCCAAGAGAGACAGTAGCGGGAGTAGAGTAGTGGGCCTTAATCGTAGTGAGGTACGCAGCAGCGGTGCGAACCTGAGTAAAGTGGACCTCCTCTGACTCAGGGAGGAGGCTGCTGAGTGCGATGCAGGCCGCAGCATCACGCGACGTCCAAGCCGTCCGGTCAGCGCGCTGACGGGCAAAGCGAGCCGTAGCAGCGTCGTCAGGGGCAGAGCCTAAAGCTGTAGGCTCGGGGGGCTCGGGGAGGTCACCAGTAGCGTGCGACCAGAGGGTCTCGCCCCCCTGGACCTGACTCTCTAACAGACGGCGAGCGCAAAGAAGCCAGACGGAAAAGTCAAGTGGTCTACCGTCAGCGTCGAAACGAAGAACTCGCGGAGTCGCCATAGTGAGAACTAACGCGAACGAACAGGCGAGTAACAACCGGGGAGAAGAGGCAAATTAGGGTTCAGGTGGGAAGGGGACTCAGTCGCAGCGGAAGAGCGGGCTAGGGCGACGGGCCAGGGCGTAGGGTAGGGCGACGGGCTAGGGCGTAGGGTAGGGCGACGGGCCAGGGCGTAGGGTAGGGCGACGGGCCAGGGCGTAGGGTAGGGCGACGGGCCAGGGCGTAGGGTGGGGCGACGGGCCAGGGCGTAGGGACGGGACAGGGCGACGCGATGGGGCAGGGCGGCGCGATGGGGCAGGGTGACGGGACGGGGCAGGGCGACGCGACGGGGCAGGGCGACGCGACGGGGCAGGGTGACGGGACGGGGCAGGGCGACGCGACGGGGCAGGGCGACGGGACGGGGCAGGGCGACGCGACGGGACAGGGCGACGGGACGGGGGGGAAAGGGCGGGCACGACGTGACGGGGGGAACGGGCGCGACGCGACGGGGGGAAAGAGCGCTAGGCGACGGGGGGAAAGGGCGCGACGCGACGGGGGGGGGGGAAAGGGCGCTAGGCGACGGGGAGAAAGGGCGCTAAGTGACGGGGGAGAGGGCGCTAGGCTCGGTACTAGGCGCGGTAACAACGGAACCGGTACGAACGAGAGGTAGGATCAGGCTCGGGAGGGACGAACGGAGAACGGAGGAACGGGATCCCACAGGATCCTAACCTAGCTGATACCATGTCAAAATGAGGAATGATGATGCCATTGATGTTGGTTGGGGTACATATAACAAACCCTAACTTCTGTACCCCCTAAGACAAACCTCACTACAGGCTACAACATTTGACACGCACATTCAAGAACACTCTCTCTGGTTCTTTTGGCGTTGACTTTCTGACTCCTCCAAAAAGGAATGCTTTCGTCGCCTCCCTGTAACGTTATCAGGAGACTCTGCAGCGGGGACAGTAGCATATGTGTTAGCATATTTGACCTTACAGGGAGTTACTGTCCCCGCTGCAGAGTCTCCTGATAACGTTAGCATATTTGACCTTACTCCTAATAGCTCTGCCCTTGCTGATGCTGCTGCTGCTTCCTCTGCTGCTGCACGCCTCGCCTCACTTAAAGCCCGGAGTCAGCATGGTAATTTATCAAGTTATGTGGGTTTGAAATAGTGTTGGCGAAACCTTGAAAACAAGAATTTCGGCAAAGTCAGTGTAGCGAGACAAATATCGATTGACGAGGGGGAAAGGGGTCTCGCCAAACGTGAAGCGATGGTAAACGATACTGTGCACCTTTGACGGATTTGCAAGCACTGTGGAGCGACTAGAAGGAGTGTCGCAAGGATTGTTCTTCAGCCAATCAGGTTCAAGTAGTGGAGAAGGTCCACGCACAATGCGACTACCACGAGCAAAAACGAAAACAGGAAGCACCAACACGAGTGAGGAGAAAGAACACCACGATCAATCAAGCTAACTACTTCGTGTGAAATAACCGCAGGAGCTAACAACAAGGAAACGTGCAAACGAAGGTGACATGCCAGAAAACGTACATGCTGAGTCGCAGGAAGGAGCGTTGAGAAGAGCGCGACACAGCGCGATATGGCCTCTGGCACATCAATTGCCTCTGGCAGCACGTAGGTCGACGGTTTCGGGGCATTGCGAACGTACATTGGGCTCGAAAGTGCCTATTACTTAGGGCAATGCCACGCTGGGGGCGTCCACAATACGCATGCCCTTAGGGTTATGCAATTCTACTCTGTCAGCCATCGGGCGCCCACAGGCGGGTAGCAGCATGCGAAATACAGAGGCGACCATCCCCCTCACCGCTTTACGCGCAGCTCGCGCCACTGGTCGTCTAGCAGCGCATCAACTCACAAACGTCCAGCGTGCGCACTATTCTATTCGAATAGCAGCGTGGAGAGGACGCTAGAACGAGGCACCACCACACCAGGACAGGTACACGTACTCCGCGCCCCTGCACTCTGCGCTCTGCCCCCTCCGCCCCCTGCGTTCTGCCCCCTGCGCTCTGCTCTATGAGCCCTGCGCTCTGCGCCCTATTCTCTGCGCCCTATGCACAGCGCCCTATGCTCGGCGCCCTATGCACTGCGCCCCATGCTCTGCGCCCCATGCTTTGCGCCCAATGCTCCGCGCCCTATGCTCTGCGCCCCATGCTCTGCGCCCCATGCTCTGCGCCCCATGCTCTGCGCCCTATGCTCTGCGCCCCATGCTCTGCGCTCTATGCTCTGCGCCCCATGCTCTGCGCCCTATGCTCTGCGCTCCATGCTCTGCGCCCTATGCTCTGTTCCCCATGCTCTGCGCCCTATGCTCTACGCCCCATGCTCTGCGCCCTATGCTCTACGCCCATGGCCCACCCTTTCTCCCCCTCATCCCTGCTTCACCACATTTCCCTCCCTGCTTCACCTCATTTCCCTCACTGCTTCACCTCATTTCCCTCCCTGCTTCACCTCATTTCCCTCACTGCTTCACCTCATTTCCCTCCCTGCTTCACCTCATTTCCCTCCCTGCTTCACCTCATTTCCCTCCCTGCTTCACCTCATTTCCCTCACTGCTTCACCTCATTTCCCTCCCTGCTTCACCTCATTTCCCTCACTGCTTCACCTCATTTCCCTCCCTGCTTCACCTCATTTCCCTCCCTGCTTCACCTCATTTCCCTCACAGCTTCACCTCATTTCCCCCCCTGCTTCCCCTCGTTTCCCCCTCTTCTTCACCTCGCTTCATCTTCCTATCTCACACTTTCCCTCTCCCCCTCTTCCTATCTCCCCTCTTCCCTATCCTCCCTCTTTTTATGGTACTTATGTCTTTCCCTCTCAGCCCTGCTTTCCTCTCCCCCCTCTTCCCTATCTCCCTTGTTTGACTTTAGTCTTGTTCCCCCTCCCCATCCCTCGTATTCCCTCCCTCTCCCTGGGTAGTGAAGTGGCACCAATGAAGATTTTCTGGCACTGCAACTCGCCGAAGACCATCATCCCATCCCTCATGTTTTTTTCAAGTCCTTGAGAAGGGTACAATCAAAAGTAGAATCATGCCTCTATCTACCCTTCTGACACTCTTGCCCATGCATCTTGGAAGAATACATTGCACTGCAGAAACATATTGCGCTTTTGAAATGGATATCTCCAACAGAAATACAGTATCATGCTTGCATACAACACACAAGAAACAGGTGGTGGTACGGCGTAAAGCATGGACTAGCTCTAGCTGCGCCTCAGCTTGCTCCTCTGCTTCACCACTGAAAATTTGGAGAGTGGAGTAGGCAGAAAGAATTGTGTGATGGAACATGGGGGAAGTGGTGTGAGGTGCCAAGGGAAAAACTGCAGGGGAACACAAGCAAGCGCACATGATGAAAGCATGTACCGGTATGGGGAGACAATGATGGGTGCACATGCATGGTAACTGGAGGGCGGAAGATGAGGGGGAAGGTGAGGGCATGACATGAAAGGGGAGGTTTGAGAAGGGATGGAGAAGGGAAGGGCAGGGCAGGGAGGGAAAGGCAGGGATGGGGAGGGCAGGTGGGAACATGGGTGGGTGCGAGGGGAAGGAGGGCTGAGGGTGGTGGGGAGTAGAGTGCGAGTGCGAGAGGACGGAGAGAGAGAGTGCGAGAGGACTGAGAGGTGTGAGTGCAGGAGGAAGGAGAATGAGAGTAATGGGAGGCAGCAGGGGGGGGGGGGATGGGGGGAAGCAGGGAAGGGGATGGGGGGAAGCAGGGGAAGGGATGAGGGGAAGCAGGGAAGGGGATGAGGGGAAGCAGGGAAGGGGATGGGGGGAAGCAGGGAAGGGGATGGGGGGAAGCAGGGAAGGGGATGGGGGGGAAGCAGGGAGGGGGATGGGGGGAAGCAGGGCAGGGGATGGGGGAAAGTAGGGAAGGGGATGGGGGGAAGCAGGGAGGGGGATGGGGTGAAGCAAGGCAGGGGATGGGGGGAAGCAGGGAAGGGGATGGGGGAAAGCAGGGGAGGGGATGAGGGGAAGCAGGGAAGGGGATGAGGGGAAGCAGGGAAGGGGATGGGGGGAAGTAGGGAAGGGGATGGGGGGAAGCTGGGAAGGGGATGGGGGGAAGCAGGGAAGGGGATGGGGTGAATCAGGGAAGGGGATGGGGGGAAGCACGGGACGGGATGGGGGGAAGCAGGGAAAGGGAAGGGGGGAAGCAGGGAAGGGGATGGGGGGAAGCAGGGAGGGGGATGGGGGGAAGCAGGGCAGGGGATGGGGGGAAGCAGGGAGGGGGATGGGGGGAAGCAGGGCAGGGGATGGGGGGAAGCAGGGAAGGGGATGGGGAAAAGCAGGGGAGGGGATGAGGGGAAGCAGGGAAAGGGATGGGGGGAAGCAGGGAAGGGGATGGGGGGAAGCAGGGAAGGGGATGGGGTGAAGCAGGGAAGGGGATAGGAGGAAGCAGGGGAGGGGATGGGGGGAAGCAGGGGAGGGGATGGGGGGAAACAGGGAGGGGGATGGGGGGAAGCAGGGGAGGGAATGGGGGGAAGCAGGGGAGGGGATGGGGGGAAGAAGGGAAGGGGATGGGGGGAAACAGGGAGGGGGATGGGGGGAAGCAGGGGAGGGGATGGGGGGGAATCAGGGAAGGGGATGGGGTGAAGCAAGGAAGGGGATGGGGGGAAGCAGGGAAGCGGATGGGGGGAAGCAGGGAAGGGGATTGGGGGAAGCACGGGACGGGATGGGGGGAAGCAGGGAAAGGGAAGGGGGGAAGCAGGGAATGGGATGGGGGGAAGCAGGGAGGGGGATGGGGGGAAGCAGCGCAGGGGATGGGGGGAAGCAGGGAGGGGGATGGGGGGAAGCAGGGCAGGGGATGGGGGGAAGCAGGGAAGGGGATGGGGGAAAGCAGGGGAGGGGATGAGGGGAAGCAGGGAAAGGGATGGGGGGAAGCAGGGAAGGGGATGGGGGGAAGCAGGGAAGGGGATGGGGGGAAGCAGGGAAGGGGATGGGGTGAAGCAGGGAGGGGGATGGGGGGAAGCAGGGCATGGGATGGGGGAAAGTAGGGAAGGGGATGGGGGGAAGCAGGGAGGGGGATGGGGTGAAGCAAGGCAGGGGATGGGGGGAAGCAGGGGAGGGGATGGGGGGAAGCAGGAAAGGGGATGGGGGGAAACAGGGAGGGGGATGGGGGGAAGCAGGGGAGGGAATGGGGGGAAGCAGGGGAGGGGATGGGGGGAAGCAGGGAAGGGGGATGGGGGGAAGCAGGGCAGGGGATAGGGGAAAGCAGGGAAGGGGATGGAGGGAAGCAGGGAAGGGGATGGGGGGAAGCAGGGAAGGGGATGGGGGAAAGCAGGGGAGGGGATGAGGGGAAGCAGGGAAAGGGATGGGGGGAAGCAGGGAAGGGGATGGGGGGAAGCAGGGAAGGGGATGGGGGGAAGCAGGGAAAGGGATGGGGGGAAGCAGGGAAGGGGATGGGGGGAAGCAGGGAAGGGGATGGGGGGAAGCAGGGAAGGGGATGGGGTGAAGCAGGGAGGGGGATGGGGGGAAGCAGGGCAGGGGATGGGGGGAAGCAGGGAAGGGGATGGGGGAAAGCAGGGGAGGGGATGAGGGGAAGCAGGGAAGGGGATGGGGGGAAGCAGGGAAGGGGATGGGGGAAGCAGGGAAGGGGATGGGGTGAATCAGGGAAGGGGATGGGGGGAAGCACGGGACGGGATGGGGGGAAGCAGGGAAAGGGAAGGGGGGAAGCAGGGAAGGGGATGGGGGGAAGCAGGGAAGGGGATGGGGGAAAGCAGGGGAGGGGATGAGGGGAAGCAGGGAAAGGGATGGGGGGAAGCAGGGAAGGGGATGGGGGGAAGCAGGGAAGGGGATGGGGGGAAGCAGGGAAGGGGATGGGGTGAAGCAGGGAGGGGGATGGGGGGAAGCAGGGCAGGGGATGGGGGGAAGCAGGGAAGGGGATGGGGGAAAGCAGGGGAGGGGATGAGGGGAAGCAGGGAAGGGGATGAGGGGAAGCAGGGAAGGGGATGGGGGAAAGCAGGGGAGGGGATGGGGGGAAGCAGGGAAGGGGATGGGGGGAAGCAGGGAAGGGGATGGGGGGAAGCACGGGACGGGATGGGGGGAAGCAGGGAAAGGGAAGGGGGGAAGCAGGGAAGGGGATGGGGGGAAGCAGGGAGGGGGATGGGGGGAAGCAGGGCAGGGGATGGGGGGAAGCAGGGAGGGGGATGGGGGGAAGCAGGGCAGGGGATGGGGGGAAGCAGGGAAGGGGATGGGGGAAAGCAGGGGAGGGGATGAGGGGAAGCAGGGAAAGGGATGGGGGGAAGCAGGGAAGGGGATGGGGGGAAGCAGGGAAGGGGATGGGGTGAAGCAGGGAAGGGGATAGGAGGAAGCAGGGGAGGGGATGGGGGGAAGCAGGGGAGGGGATGGGGGGAAACAGGGAGGGGGATGGGGGGAAGCAGGGGAGGGAATGGGGGGAAGCAGGGGAGGGGATGGGGGGAAGAAGGGAAGGGGATGGGGGGAAACAGGGAGGGGGATGGGGGGAAGCAGGGGAGGGGATGGGGGGAAGCAGGGAAGCGGATGGGGGGAAGCAGGGAAGGGGATTGGGGGAAGCACGGGACGGGATGGGGGGAAGCAGGGAAAGGGAAGGGGGGAAGCAGGGAAGGGGATGGGGGGAAGCAGGGAGGGGGATGGGGGGAAGCAGCGCAGGGGATGGGGGGAAGCAGGGAGGGGGATGGGGGGAAGCAGGGCAGGGGATGGGGGGAAGCAGGGAAGGGGATGGGGGAAAGCAGGGGAGGGGATGAGGGGAAGCAGGGAAAGGGATGGGGGGAAGCAGGGAAGGGGATGGGGGGAAGCAGGGAAGGGGATGGGGGGAAGCAGGGAAGGGGATGGGGTGAAGCAGGGAGGGGGATGGGGGGAAGCAGGGCAGGGGATGGGGGAAAGTAGGGCAGGGGATGGGGGGAAGCAGTGAAGGGGATGGGGGGAAGCAGGGAAGGGGATGGGGGAAAGCAGGGGAGGGGATGAGGGGAAGCAGGGAAGGGGATGAGGGGAAGCAGGGAAGGGGATGGGGGGAAGTAGGGAAGGGGATGGGGGGAAGCAGGGAAGGGGATAGGAGGAAGCAGGGGAGGGGATGGGGGGAAGAAGGGAAGGGGATGGGGGGAAGCAGGGGAGGGGATGGGGGGAAACAGGGAGGGGGATGGGGGGAAGCAGGGGAGGGAATGGGGGGAAGCAGGGGAGGGGATGGGGGGAAGCAGGGAAGGGGATGGGGGGAAACAGGGAGGGGGATGGGGGGAAGCAGGGGAGGGAATGGGGGGAAGCAGGGGAGGGGATGGGGGGAAGCAGGGAAGGGGGATGGGGGGAAGCAGGGCAGGGGATAGGGGAAAGCAGGGAAGGGGATGGAGGGAAGCAGGGAAGGGGATGGGGGAAAGCAGGGGAGGGGACGAGGGGAAGCAGGGAAGGGGATAAGGGGAAGCAGGGAAGGGGATGGGGGGAAGTAGGGAAGGGGATGGGGGGAAGCAGGGAAGGGGATGGGGGGAAGTAGGGAAGGGGATGGGGGGAAGCAGGGAAGGGGATGGGGGGAAGCAGGGCAGGGGATACGGGGTAAGAGGGGATAGGATGGGGGGAAGCACGGCAGGGGATACGGGGAAACAGGGAAGAGGATGGGGGGAACGGGGGCAGATGCTGGGGAGAGAGCTGGGGGGAGGATGGTGGGGAGCAGAGAGGGAATCAAAACGCTGTTCGATTGTGGTGGTGGAAGCGACCACCTCTGTTTCTCCCCATCTGTTCCTCCCCATCTGTCCCACCCCTTCGGAAGGAATGAGGGAGGAAGGATGGGCTGGAGATGGTGAGATGGGGAGAGGGGAAGAGCGGATGGAAACGCGGATGACGAGGGGAAGCGCGAGTGACTGGGAGGCAAGCCCGACGACGGGACGCGCGGGCGACGAGGGGAGGCGAGGGCGGCGAGGGTCGGCACGGGTGATGAGGGGAAGCGCGAGCGACGAGAGGGAATGTCGGTGACCAAGGGAGGTGAGGGCGGCGAGGATCGGTGTGGGTCGACGAGGGTGATGAGGGGAGCGCGGGTGACGATCTGAAGCGCGGTATGTTTACTACTAGCACTTGCGACGAGGGGATGTGTGGTTAACGTGGGAGAGCGTGGGCAACTACGGGAACATATGCGACCAGAGGGTCGGGGAGGGTAATGAGGGAAAGCGCGGGCGACGAGGAAAGCGGTCTGACGTGGGCAAGAGCGGTCGACGAGGAGGAACATGTGCGACTAACGGCTGAGTGCGTTACGCGAACCAGTACGGCATTCGCCGTGAGCGACCCGTGCCTAAAACGGTACGATCGTGACACGAGGCTGAATGGCAGCAAGTGTGACAAGATCCTGCGTGTGCGACGCGAGCTTGAATCCAAGACTCGAGTAACGCGAATCTCGTTTACTAACGTAAGTGCCGTGGGTGTATGGGTTGTAACACGAGACCGGTGACGTGAGGGAGAGATTAGAGCGTGCACTGACTAAGATGGTTGAGGTGGACTTATATTTCCGTCCGCACAAAAAAAAAACACCTATCAACGACTCGCTTTTGCCAACTAGAGCTAGTTTTTGCCTTGGAGCCTCCTAGCCTATGAGTACTACTTGGTAAGCAAGTTATGTGAGTGGTGAATAGTACAAATGGTTGGCGATCATCGCGTCAGTTCTGGATTTGGGCACTCGGGTTCCGTTGTCGCAGGACGATTGCTGGGGTCGCGAGAATTTTCTCAAACAAGTAGGGTAACCCTGTTATTGGCGACTTCAAGTTCAAGAATCTTGAACTTGAAAGTTACCATGCTGTACTCGGGCTTTAAAGCCTCAGTTATTGGATCTACTACAAGTGGACTGCCCAGAGGCCCTCCGGGATCCCCTCCGCGGACAAACGGTCCCGTCACAAAGAAACCGTACCACGCCTCAACAGCTGCACTATTTTCTGCCAAAATTATAAATAACCAAGACTCCTGACACCACAGTGCTGCGGTAACTTCACAGGTATGTACACATCGATTAATATCACAAGGTACAAGTAAATCGTTGCATCTTACTGTACAGCTCGACATGACACACCAGCATTTGCTATATACACATCGTCCCCCATTATCCATACCATTTTCGCCTACTCTCAACAGCCCTTCCTTGGTACTGATGGCTCCAGGTCACATCTCTTTCGCTAGCTGCTCTTCGCTCTTCTGCTTGCCACGTTTCAAACATTTCTTCAGTTTCTTCTGCCCTTGACCCGCCGACTTCTTCGTGACGACGCGCTTTCGCACCTTCTTAACAGCTCCCACCTCTACAACATCACCAGAAGACTCTGTAGAGGGGATAGGAGCACCAGTGGCAGCACCAGCTGCAGCATCACCAGCAGCAGCTACGTCCCCTCCTGCACCCTCTGGTTGTGCTGCAGGGGCTACCTCCCCCGCAGCACTCTCTGCTACTACTGCAGGTGCTACCTCCCCTCCTGCACCCTCTGCTACTGCTGCAGGTACTGCCTCCCCCCCCAGCACCCTCCGTTTCTGCAGGTGCTACCTCCCCCCCAATATCCTCCGTTGCTGCAGGTGCTGCCTCCCCCCCAGCGCCCTCCGTTTTTGTAGGTGCTACCTCCCCCCCAGCACCATCTGTTGTTGCAGGTGCTACCTCCCCCCCAGCACCCTCTGCTACTGCTGCAGGTGCGACCTCCCCCCCAACACACTCCGCTCCCGCTATGAGTTCTTCTTTTACTTCCACTGCTGCCGCTGCTCCCGCTCCTCCTGCACTTGTGCTTGCTACATCTGCTGCTGCTGCCTCAACTGCTCCAGCAACCTTCAGCACCCCACAACTTCCTACACCCACCTCCTCTCGTCCTGCTGCTGAAGCCATTTCTGATTCCACCTTTGCTGCTACTGCTGCGGCCTCCTCTGGTGCTGTTCCCACCACTCCCCCTTCAGCATCAGCTGCCACACCTTCCGGCTGTTCCTCTGCCATTGGCCCTCCCGCGGGTACACCGCTCTCCCCTCCACGAATGAATGACCCTGCCACGAAAAACCCAAACCACGCCTCGAACGCCGCACTCGTCTCCGCCTGTGTTTTCGTCATGCAGCTACTGCCCGTGAAGCTGCCCCAACCGGGCAGCTCAACCGTGCTTGTGAAAATCGGGCAGTGAGACGGCCCATGCACACCTGTGGAGTAGGACGGCATGCACCCTAACATGCGGCTGCAATCCACCTGCAGCAGCAACTTCGCATGTACTTTCGCAATCTCTTTCGCCACAGCTGCGACGTGGGCGGCGTCTGCTGGTGGCTGCGCGTCCGGACAGGATAGGTTTCCTGAAATCGCATTCCTGAAGGCAGCGCGATATGCTAAGAGTTCGGCGTCTTTTTTTCGTAGACCAAGGACGGAAGTCGGCCTACTGGCCGATTCTTCCCTCGAGATCTGCTGCCAGCTTTCCGGCAACCCGCGGAAAGTTTTAGATCCGAAAGTGACTTGGAAGTCCCAAGTCAACAAATGAGGGGATCCTCTTGATCCCAGGGAGAGACCTTGAGGCGGCGACACGTTAATCGCTGAAGCGAGATCTTGTAGGAGCTTAGAAAACATGATTCTAAGAAGGTATTACCTTGTAATATGACTGACAACTTTTTCCAATCTCACGTTTGACGCCAAGTACAACGAAAATGAGCGATAGGAATCGATCAGGAAGGACTAGGCCCTGGCAATATGCGACGTCACGTCTTAAGTGGAGCCCCACCTCGCATTTTCTGGGTGAGAGAGACCGTGGTCGGGAGATTTTTCCGATAAGATCTGCAGGAACCAGGCGCGGGAGATGCCGTTTGGTTCGTTCCTCTACACGCCAGACCGCAACGATCTACGGCGGAGAGGACATTCTTCGACATTCTTCTAAATCAAGGCGGGAAATCCGAGCCGCTCGAGTTGTAACAGCTGTCCGTCCTACCTCGTCACTAACGCCAGGATGCGAAAGTTATTCTACGAGCAGTTGCGATTTGTGCATGCAGAATGGTGACTTTGTCAACTGGTTTGCTCTGCATGTGTAAAATGCTTGCTGTCGAAGGGGTGACTGGTTGATTGACTGGTCGATTGGGCGAGTAGGCGAAGAGGCGAGAGGGCGAAGAGGCGGGTTGGCGACTTGGCGAATCCACGAATGCGCGAGCTCAGTTTCGTGGCCAATCTGAACTCCCCGAAACCAAGCCTTTTCGCAGCGTAAGGGCGCGTAACCATTTTGCATTTTACGTTTTCGACGGACAGTCCGCTTAGAACGAAGCGGACGGTTCTGTTCTCGAGAGCGAGACCGTCCGAATCAAAAATTTGCAACTTCGGACTGTCCAAAGGCTAATGTGACACTTTTTTGGGGTTGTTGATTTTTGCGACTACAGTAACCTCGTTAGAGGCCTTGAATCTTCTTAACTTACCGTACCTCCCGACATTTTCGGCATTATCTTCGTTGGCGAATCGGTATGATTTACTGTACATTAAAATTCGTCCACAAATACCTAGCCAGAAATGGTGGACCGTCCGTTTGGGTTTCGGACAGTCCCGGTTCACAAAGCGGAGTTTTGGAAATGTGGAAAAGTGTCACGACAGTCCGTTAAGTTGGCGACGTCGCCATTTGCGTATTGATTGTTTGAATTTATTACATTTCGCGACGACAGACCGTCCACAGCTCGAACCGTCGGGTGCAAAATGGTTACGCGCCCTCACCCGTCGCAAAGAAAGTTCAGACCATCCAATCAAGATTTGACATGCGAACACTACCGTCGATTGGCTCGAGATACACAAACGCATCACGAGTAGTACATATGCAAGAATGAAAGTGTAGACAAATGTATTCTACACAATCAATACGCAAATAGTTGAAGGATATGGTCTGCAGAAACCTCAATGCCCGCTGAGCGTATCAAGCATATGCAATGAGGCTGATTGGAATACTAGTAGGTGGTGCTGATATACCAGTAGTAGTGGTGCTGTGCTGATAATAGGCCCAGATAAGCGTAGCCATATGACCCGACGGAAATAAAACGCTTCCGCATTTTGGGGCTGGAAGCGATCGTTTTGAGCGTTTTTCTTCCGCCAGGTCACGCGGCTGTGCTTGTCTGGGCCTATTACTAAGCCAGCAAGGGCGTGGGAGGGTTGCGAGCATCATCGGTCATCGGCGCTCGCGAATGAAGAGCGCCCGCTGCGCTTCTTGCACATTTGCAGATCCTTCCGCGTTTTGGGGTTGGAAGAGCTCGTTCCGAGCGTTTTTCTTCTGCCGTGTCACGTGGCTACGCTTTTCTAGGCCTATTAGGAAGCCAGCAAGGGCTTGGGAGGGTTGCGAGCATCATCGGTCATCGGCATTCGCGAATGAATAGCGACCGCTGCATTTCCTACACATGTGCGGATCCTTCCGCGTTTTGGTGGTGGAAGCGCTCTTTCAAAGCATTTTTCTTCCAAAGGGTCACGTGGCAGCGCTTGTCTAGGCCTATTACCAAGCTAGCAAGGGCGTGGGAGAGTTGCGAGCATCATCGGTCATCGGCGCTCGCGAATGAAGAGCGCCCGCTGCACTTCCTGGACATGTGCGGATCCTTCCGCGTTTTCGGGTTAGAAACACTCGTTTTGAGCGTTTTTCTTGCGCCGGATCATGTGGTTGCGCTTGTCTGAGCCTATTACCAAGCCAGCAAGGGCGTGGGAGGGTTGTGGGTATCATCGGTCATCAGCACTCGCGAATAAATAGCGACCGCTGCATTTCCTGCACATGTGCGGATCCTTCCACGTTTTGGGGGCGGAAGCGCTATTTCCTAGCGTTTTTCTTCCACCGGGTTAGGTGGCTGCACTTGTCTAGTCCTGCTACCAAGTCAGAAAGGGCGTGAATGGGTTGCGAGCATCATCGGTCATCGGCGCTCACGAATGAAGAGCGCCCTCTGCACTTCCTACACGTGTGCGGATCCTTCCGCTTTTTGGGCTGGAAGCGCTCGTTCCGAGCGTTATTCTTCCCGCGCGTCACGTGGCTGTGCTTCTCTGTGCCTATTACCAAGCCAGCAAGGGCGTGGGAGGGTTGCGAGCATCATCGGTCATCTGCGCTCGCGAATGAAGAGCGCCCATTGCACTTCCTGCACGTGTGTGGATCCTTCCGCATTTTGGGGGTGGAAGAGCTCGTTCATAGCGTTTTTCTTCCGCCGGGTCACGCGGTTGCGCTGTCTAGGCCTATTACCAAGCCATCAAGGGCGTGGGAGGGTTGTGAGCATCATTGGTCATCGGCGCTCGCGAATGAAGAGCGCCCGCTGCACTTCATGCACATGTGCGGATCCTTCCGCGTTTTCGGGGTGGAAGCGCTTGTTCCGAGCATTTTTCTTCCGCCGGGTCACGTGGCTGTTCTAGTCTGGGCCTATCACCAAGCCAGCAACGGCATGGGAGGGTTTTGAGCATCATTGGTCATCGGCGCTCGCGAATGAAGAGCGCCCGCTGCACTTCCTGCACATTTGCGGATCCTTCCGCATTTTGGGGGTGGAAGCACTCGTTCCAAGAGTTTTTCTTCCGTCAGGTCACGTGGTTGCATTTGTTTGGGCCTATTACCAAGCCAGCAAGGGCGTTAGAGGGTTGCGAGCATCATCGTCCATCGGCGCTCACTAATGAAGAGCGTCTGCTGCACTTCCTGCACATGTGCGGATCCTTCCTTATTTTGGGGGTGGAGGCGTTCGTTCCGAGCGTTTTTCTTCCGCCGAGTCACGTGGCTGCGATTGTCTGGCCTTATTACCAAGCCAGCAAGGGCGTGGGAGGGTTGCGAGCAACATCGGTCATTGGCGCTCATGAATGAACAGCACACGCCGCACTTCCTGCATGTGAGGATCTAGGATCGAGCTCAAAAAGAGAGTTTGAATTGAATTGAATGATCACTTCGGTACAACACGAGGCTATATATAGGCTCGACACAAGGCCAAGTAACCTGGTGTTACGCGAAGGTTCAGAGGTTCGCGAAGCGTCCCAAACAGATCCTTCCCGAATTCGGTAGAAGACAATTCGGTGTCAACCGAAAAACAAGAATTCGATGCACGCAACCTAGATCGGTGCTATAACTATAATAGAATATAGGAAAGCACCTAGCCTAGGAAATCAAGCAATTCATGCATGCATATAATTATCCTATGTTAGAAATAGCCTGATAAAGTAAAGGCAAGCAAGCATAGTTGGCATAAGCCGTCGTACTCTCACACTGCACATTTGCGGATCCTTCCCTGTTTTGGGGGTGGAAGTGCTCGTTCCGAGCGTTTGTTTTCCGCTGGATCACGTGGCTGTGCTAGTCTGGGCCTATTACCACGCCAGCAAGGGCGTGGGAGGGTTTCAAGCATCATCGGTCATCGGCGCTCACGAATGAAGAGCGCTCGCTGCACTTTCTGCACATGTGCAGATCCTAACGTTTTGGGGTTGGAAGAGTCTTCCGCTGGGTCACTTGGTTTGCTTGTCTGTGTTGGGCCGAGAAAACAAGGCTATACTTTTAGTTGAAGTATTTGTAGTTGCGGAAGTGTTTGAATGACAAGGGTTGAACCACCTTGCGCTAGTATGTGAGGGCAAGATAGATTGATTAAAGCAAGAACATACAAGGCTTTATAGGAGTACAAGGAATATGAGAAGATGCAACTAATAATCGTTTTGCTGTTGCTATTGCGGTTGCGGAGATACACTCTACAACGGTAGTGAGCTAGACTACGGGGGTTGGCACGAACTACTAGGAGTGATCGTAGCTTTGCTTAGTTCCTTAGTGCTTGCACATTCACGGGAGAAATCGGCAAGAGTTTTCACTAGGCAAAGTCGAAATTACAGAATGATTGAACAAGCAATGGCAACAATGACTACATCAAGCACCTAGCAGCCCTGCAGCTAGCCTGGTCGACCGCCAGCACAGCTTGGTCGACCGCTTGCCAGCGTTGCGTAGAGGAGCCGCGCCAGCACTGTGGAAAGGCGACCTGCCAACACAGTAGGTCGACGGCATGCCAACGCTGCAATAGAGCGGCTGTCTAGCGTTGCCCCGTAGAACACAGCAGTACGCAAGCTCGCAGGTGCGCGCAGACAATTGGCCCAACTTGCCTCGTTGGGCATCTGTTGGCTGTTGTCTACGCCTGACGAGCCACATCGACTTCGGGATACCAGCCCGTAGTCGCCTTCGCCATCGCAACCTCGAAGACGTTCGCGTGCCTCCGCAGAACTCGTCGAGCAGGTTACCCAGTCGACCCGCCCGACCATCAGGTGCTTCCGGTCGACCACCGGGTCCCTCTGGTCGACCACTAGGTGCCTCTGGCCGACCACAGCTCCCGTCGAGCTACCCCCTGGTCGACGGACCCTTCCCGTCGACCAGAACAGTCAGCGGTTGTCGCCGAGCTCCCCTCGTTGACTGGTGCTCAATTGTCAGATCGACGGACTGCTCCGTCGACCTCCCGGTCGAACTGCAGGTCGACAGACTGCTCTCGGTCAAGCTGCAGGTCGACGGAGACCCCCTGGTCGAGGTGCGGGTCGACGGAGGCCTCCCGGTCGGACTGCCCCTCCTGGACGATGGCCCACCTATCGCCCAGACCAGTGAGTTGCAGTTGTCGAGCTCCCTGGTCGACAGCAACACCACAGCGGTCCCCTGCAGCTCGACGATGCCTGTCAAGCATCTCTCCCACTGTGAACGATCGGCTGCTACTCCCGTACATCCGACCAATTCGTCGGCGTTGCCCAAGCGAGGGTGGGGCCAACACTCCATTCCCGTTAACACTCCCCTGCCGCACTCACGCTTGGGCCTCCAGCCCACACGGCAGTACTCCACGGAGAAAACTCGTCCTCGGCGTGCACCCCACACACAACTCGCAGTCACCGCACCAGCCGTGCAGAAGGGCACGGCATCTACTGCTGCACCTCGTCGTCGCCGTCGTCAACGTTGGCCAGGTGAACTTGGCCGATGGCGACAGAGCACCGGTTGAAGGCTAGAAAACGCAGCGCCTTCGTCAGGAAATCGGCAGGCTGCTCGGTGGTCAGGATGTACTTCAGCACGAATTTCCCGTGCCTCACCATGTGCTGCAGCCAGGCGTAGCGTCGCTCCATGTGCTTAAGGTTGCCCGTCAGCCCCAAGCCCTCAGCGACCGTGATTGCCGACTTGTTGTCGACGTGGAGGATGGTCGGCTTCCCAGCGTCGAGCAGCTTGAGTTCTGCAAGGAGGAAGCGAAGTCCACGCTCCTCCTTGCTGGCATTCGTGGCCGCCACGTATTCCGACTCGGTTGATGACAATGTCGCGCACTTGATGCGTGAGCTCGACGAGGAGACGGCGACCCCTCCGTAGACGAACACGTAACCTCCCGTGCTCGTCCGGTTCTGCTTGTCGCCCGCGTCGTCGGCATCGACGTAGCCAATCATCTCTAACGATTCAGGTCCACCGCCGAACTCCGGGGCGGTGTCGCGGGAGTTGGCGAGGTAGGCGAGGCTGTCAGAACATATAGCTTTTGCATATTGTGTAGGCTATAGTGGGGTAGACCATAAGGGGTACAACCCAATTAGGGTTAGTACATGGTATCGAGCAGGTTCCCCTGTGGGAACTGTTCCTAGGGCCCACCACTTCAAACATTTTTTTTTCCTGCCCGAAGCGCGCTCATCCCGAGTCGCGCCTCGGGCTCTTACCTCACCGAGCCGCCCTAGCGGCCCTCCCTCCCCTAGCGGCCCCGCCGCCTGTTCGTGCGGCCCCGCCACCCGTTTTCACGGCCCCGCCGCCCCGCGTTCGCGGCCCCGCCACCCTACTCTTGCGGCCCCGCCGCCCTGCTTTACCGGCACCGCCGCCCTACTTCAGCGGCCCCGCCGCCCTACGCCTGCGGCCCCGCCGCCCTACTGCTGCTGCCCCGCCGCCCTACACCTGCAGCCCCGCGGCCCTACTCTAGCGGCCCCGCCGCCCCACTTCGCGGCCTCGCCGCCCTACTCTACCGGCCCCGCCGCCCCACTTCGCGGCCTCGCCGCCCTACTCTACCGGCCCCGCCGCCCTACACCTGCGGCCCCGCCGCCCTACTTCACGGGCCCCGCTGCCCTACTTTCGCGGCCCCGCCGCCCTACTCTACTGGCCCCGCCGCCCTACTCTCGCGGCCTCGCCGCCCGTCTGCTGCGGCCCCGCCGCCCTACACCTGCGGCCCCGCCGCCCTACTTCACGGGCCCCGCCGCCCTACTTTCGCGGCCCCGCCGCCCTACTCTACCGGCCCCGCCGCCCTACTCTCGCGGCCCCGCCGCCCGTCTACTGCGGCCCCGCCGCCCTACACCCACGGGCCTCGCCGCCCTACTTTCGCGGCCCCGCCGCCCGTCTGCTCCGGAGCCGCCGCCCGAGCCGCCGACCGCCGCATCGTCCTCCAGCTGCACGCTCGAGCCGCCGACCACCGCGCCGCCCTGCAGCAGCACCACCGAGCCACCCTGTACCAGCGGAGCCGAGCCGCTCTGCCGCCGAGCCGCGCTGCAGCCGAGCCGCCCGGCCGCCCACCAGCCGAGCCGCTGTGCAGCCGAGCCGCTGTGCAGCCGCGCCGCCCAGCAGCCGAGCCGCCTTCGCAGCCGAGCCGCCGGGCCGCCCTACAGCCGAGCCGCCCTAGCAGCCCTGTCCGGTGAGCACAGCCCCTCTGTCACTGCGTGCCCTTCCCCTACTGCTTGCACTGCTAGTCTACCGTTGTCATGGCTACCCCTAGTGTCCTCGCTTTTGACGCTGAGGGTCGAGCCATTGACTTTGAGGTCTGGGTCGACGACCTGCAACTTTTCTTACAGTGCGATAGGGCGGACGGTCTTTCTCTCTTTGACCTCACCTCTGGCGCCTCACCTGCCCCTGCTGCTGATGCTGACCCCACTGTTCGCTCTCAGTGGGCCACCCGCGATGCTGCTGCACGTCTTGCTGTGCGTCGCCACCTGCCTACCACTGAGCGCGCGCACTTTAGTCAGTACAAGAGTGCTCAGACCTTGTACGACGCTGTAGTTGCGCGCTACTCTTCCCCTGCCACTGCTGCACTGAGCCGCCTCATGCTACCGTACCTCTTCCCTGACCTTGCTGCCTTTCCCACAGTCGCTGACCTCATTACGCACCTCCGCACTAGTGACACTCGCTACCGTGCCGCGCTTCCTGCTGAGTTCTGCGCCAAGAACCCCCCCCCCATGTACATCACTCTCTATTACATAGTCACCCGCCTCCCTGACTCCCTTCGCGTAGTCAGGGACCACTTCCTCTCAGTCTGTCCCACCACTCTCACTGTTGACCTCCTCGAGAAGGCCCTCCTAGCAGCGGAAAAGAGCATAGTCGCTGTAGGAGCCTCTCGTGGTGACCCTCGCACCCCCATCTTTGAGGGGTGTTCCCCTTCCCCCCTGTTGCCCTCTGTTGCCTCTGCTGCTGCGGCCGACCTTCTTGGTCTTGAGTCGGTCGGTGCGGCATCTTCCCCTAGCGGGAGACGCCGCTCTAGCAAGGGCAAGGGGGGCAAGGGCGTGGGTGGGACTGGCGGGGGCGGTGGAGGTGGCAGTGGAGGCGGCGGAGGGAGTGGGGGTGGCGCTGAGAGTGGTGGCGGAGGTGGTGGTGGTGGTGGCGGCAGCGGAGGCGGAGGCGGCGGCGGCGGTAGCGGTGGGAGTGGAGGCGGCGGTGGTGGTGGAGGTGGAGGCGGCAGTGGCGGAGGAGGTGGAGCTGCTAGGGGTGGTGCCTCGCAGCGGAGCGGGTCTGGTGGTGGTCAGCACCAGCAGCAGCAGCAGCAGCAGCAGCGTTCTTGGGACATCCCCCCTCCTCAGCAGCTCCGTGAGTGGTACACGCAACGTCAGCGTGGTGGGGGTTTTGGTCTGTGCACCTACGTCCTTCGCTCTGGCGACCGCACGGGTGTGTAGTGTGGGGGTGCCCACCCCACCCCGCGCTGCTTTGGCCGTCTAACGGACGCTTGGCGTCAGCAGTTCCCTGAGGCTAGTGAGATCCCCCGCCAGGGAGAGCTGTCTAGGGCTGGTGTAGCTATTTTTGATCTTGACTTTGATGCTATCCTTGCTGCCATGTATGCTGTGACTATTAGTGATGAGGGTGACTGTTACCGGTGTTTCCCGCCTGACCCGGGCATTGTCACTGCTGCACTAGGTGCTAGTGAGGCTGCTGCTCTAGGTGCCGGCGCGTCTGCGCTCTCAGATACTGGTGAGGCTGCGCTCTCAAGTACCGCGTCGGCTTCGGCCTCCCTCACCTTCACACTTGACTCAGGGGCTTCTCGCTCCTTCTTTCGAGACCGCACCACACTCACGCCGCTTGGTCGGCCGGTTGCAGTCTCCCTGGCTGACCCCTCTGGGGGTCCTGTCCTCTCTCACTTCTCCACTGTCCTCCCGTGTCCGGCTGCCCCCTCTGGCACCTTGTCTGGTCTGTACCTCCCCTCATTCTCGATGAACTTGGTGAGTGGTGCTGACCTGCAGGATGTGGGGGCTCACCAGTTTACTCCTGCGAGTCAGCGGATGACCCACTGCTCGGACGCCTGAATAGGCTGACACCTGGCCACGTTTTTGCGTCGGCCGGGGTCGAGGCTCTACACCCTGACCACTGAGTCTCCTCCTGTCCCTGCGTCTGGCCAGGTAGCTGCGTCGGGTCAGGTGTTTGCTGCTGCGTCCAGGTCTGGTCTTGAGTCTGCCCCCTGCTCGTGTCGACTCCTGTCTCACGAGACCCTCCTGTGGCACCACCGTCTTGGCCACCCCTCCCTGCCTCGTCTTCGGGGCATGGCTTCCCGTGTCCTTGTCTCTGGTCTTCCCCAGTCCCTCCCTCCCCTTCCTTCGGGGCCTGGTCCTTCCGGTGTCCCCTGTGTCGAGGGGCGCCTCCGGGCTGCCCCTCACTCCTCTCAGTTTCCCCCGACAGAGGCTCCGCTGCAGACGCTTCACATGGACGTGTGGGGCCCGGCCCGCGTCCGTGGACAGGGTCACGAGCGCTACTTCCTGCTGGTGGTTGCGACTACTCGCGTTACACCACAGTCTTCCCCTTGCGCAGCAAGGGTGATGTCACTAAGGTGTTGATCGACTGGATCCGCGCAGCTCGTCTCCAGCTTAGGAGGAGCTTCGGCTCGGACTTTCCCGTTCTGCGTCTGCACTCTGACCGAGGTGGAGAGTTCTCCTCTGGCCTTCTGCGAGCCTACTGTCGTGCACGGGGGATCCGCCAGACCTTTACGCTTCCGGACTATCCACAGCAAAATGGGATTGCTGAGCGCCGCATTGGCATGGTCATGGACGTCGCTCGTACGTCCATGATGCATGCGGCTGCCCCCCATTTTCTCTGGCCGTTTGCGGTTCGGTACGCGGCGCATCAGATCAACCTTCACCCCAGGGTCTCCCGACCGGAGACCTCCCCAGCTCTGCTGTGGACGGGGAAGGTCGGCGATGCGTCTGCGTTCCGTGTCTGGGGATCTAGGGCGTTTGTCCGCGACTTGGCTGCGGACAAGCTGTCCCCTCGTGCTGCTCCCTGTGTCTTCCTTGGCTTCCCCCCTGACGCACCAAGGTGGCAGTTCTACCACCCCTCCTCTCGTCGTGTTCTGTCCTCCCAGGACGTCACGTTCGAGGAGTCAGTCCCCTTCTACCGCCTCTTCCCCTACCGCACTCCTTCCCTCCCCCCGCCACCGCACTTCCTTGTGCCAGGTCCCCCCCCGGTAGACCCCCTTCCTCCTCAGGGTCCTGCTCCTTCAGGTGTGTCCCAGGTAGACGCAGTCGAGCCGGTCGAGGTTGCTGGTGACTCTGGTACTGCTGCGGGTGCTGCGCCTAGGGGTGCTGACTCTGGGGGTGCTGCGCGCGTGGGTGCTAAGACTGGGGGTGCTACGCCTTGGGGTGCTGCGCCTGGGGGTGCTGAGTCTGGGGGTGCTCAGCCTGGGGGTGCTGAGACTGGGGGTGCTGAGCCTGGGGGTGCTGAGACAGGGGGTGCTGAGCCTGGGGGTGCTGTGACTTGGGGTGCTGAGCCTGGGGGTGCTGAGCCTGGGGGTGCCACGTCGGGAGCTACTGAGCCAGGGGGTGCTGCGTCTGGAGCTGCTGAGCTTGGAGGTGCAGAGTCTGCGGCCGCTGGACCTCCCCTTGTGGCGTCTGGCGGTGCTGGGCTTGGAGGTTCTCCGGGTGCTTCGTCTCGGCGGGAGCCCCTCTCTCCACAGGAGCTGCGCGAGTGGTTTGCTCGCTGCTGGAGGCGTACTACTGGAGCTGGAGCTTCCCCGGCAGCTGAGGGTGCTGGTGCCGCCTGGAGCTGGTCCTGCTGCGGGTTCTGTTGGTGCTGCTGGAGGTGCTGTTGGCGCTGGTACTGCAGCTGAGGGTGCTGGTGCTGTCCCTTCTGTGTCTGGAGTTGCTGCGCGGCCTCGGCCATACTTCGTTCCGCTCCTGCAGCAGGTTCTTGGTTCTTCTCCTCCTGTTGAGTGTCCATCGCCTGTCCAGTCCCAGTCACAGCTACCGCCAGCCTCCCCACTACCTGCTCCCTCTCCTTACACTGGTCCTACTAAAGGTCTTGCTGAGCGTCGTGAGCCTGCGTCTCGTCCCACGTCGCCTGTTCGTGCTACTCGCGCTAGTTGTCACGGCTCGCGTCAGCGTCCTCCTCCTGTCCCTGGCATGCACCGGATGTCTCTGCGTCCGACCACTGCTCCTCTGCGTGCCCCTTTGCCTTCTCCTCCTGAGTCCTCTCTTCCTGCTCTGGCTGACCCGGAGTCGGACTCTCTTCGTGCTGCCAGTCCTACTGTCACGCGTCTCCTTGCTACTGTCGTCACTGACCCCTCTTTTGAGTCCACTGCTGCGTCTGCTCTTGTTGCTGAGCTCGTCAACTTTGCTGCTCGCTGTCGTCTAGACTACGCTGCTAGTCTTGTTGCTGAGTCTGCGTCTGTCTGTCCTCCGTCCGTCAGGGGTGAGTGTGCTCTTGGCACGGATGTCCTTGAGGACAGGCAGGAGGAGTTCCAGTGTCTGGCTGCTGCTTCACTTGATCTCGCGTCCGTACTGCTTGCCCCTGAGGGAGACCCGGATGCACTAGACATCCCGACTCCGCGCTCTTACGCAGAGGCCGTAGAGGGTCCCTACTCCTCTCAGTGGCAGGCAGCCATGGATGTAGAGATGGCTTCCTGGAAGTCCACAGGCACCTACGTTGACGCGGTTCCCCCTCCTGGGGCGAACATCGTCAGTGGCATGTGGATCTTCAGGGTGAAGCGGCCGCTGGGCTCTCCACCTGTCTTCAAGGCGCGGTATGTCGCTCGTGGCTTCAGTCAGCGGCAGGGAGTTGACTACTTTCAGACCTTCACTCCCACCCCGAAGATGACCACTCTTCGGGTGCTGCTGCACATAGCCGCTCAGCGCGACTACGAGCTTCACTCTCTTGACTTCAGCACTGCTTTCTTGCAGGGTAGCCTGCACGAGGAGATCTGGCTGCGCCGTCCACCTGGCTTCACTGGGACTTTCCCTCCTGGCACCCAGTGGAGCCTCAAACGGCTAGTCTACGGTCTCCGCCAAGCGCCGCGTGAGTGGCACGACACACTGAGGACTACGCTTGCGGCTCTTGGGTTTGCTCCCTCTACTGCTGACCCGTCGTTGTTTCTGCGCACCGACACCTCTCTGCCGCCGTTCTACATCCTCGTGTACGTCGACGACCTGGTCTTTGCCACAGCTGACACTGCTGGACTCGCCTACGTGAAGTCCGAGCTACAGAAGAGACACACGTGCACAGACCTGGGTGAACTACGCAGCTACCTTGGCTTGCAGATCACCCAGAACAGAGCACGCCGCACCATTACCTTGACTCAGTCACACATGGTGCAGCAGGTCCTTCAGCGCTTCGGCTTCACGTACTCCTCGCCTCAGGCCACTCCTCTGTCTACTCGCCACTCGCTCTCAGCTCTGCCTTCGGATGAGTCCGTAGAGTCGAGTGGCCCGTACCCAGAGCTTGTTGGCTGCCTCATGTACCTGATGACCTGCACACGACCTGACCTTGCATACCCTCTTAGCATTCTTGCACGCTATGTTACTCCTGGGAGACACCGACCAGAGCACATGGCAGCAGCGAAGAAGGTGTTGCGCTACTTGTGCAGTACGTCGGGCATGGGGCTAGTGCTTGGAGGGCGGAGTCCAGTGGTCCTCACTGGGCACGCGGACGCTTCTTGGGCTGACGACCAGGCTACTCAGCGGTCGTCGCAGGGTTACACCTTCAGTCCTTGTTCCGGCTCTGTTTCGTGGCGGGCTACTCGCTCGTCTTCTGTTCTCGGCTCCAGTTGTGAGGCTGAGATCTACGCCGGGGCCATAGCTGCACAGGAGCTTCGCTGGCTCACCTACCTGCTGACTGACCTTGGAGAGCCGCCTCGTTCTCCTCCAGTGCTGTACGTCGACAACAAGGCCATGCTGGCTTTGTGTCGAGAGCATCGCCTGGAGCACAGAACGAAGCACATTACTCTCCGTTACTTTCTTGCTCGTGAGCTGCAGCAGCGTGGTCAGTTGCGACTTGCGTACGTGGCCTCTAAGGCCAACACTGCTGATGTTTTCACCAAGGCACTTCCGCCTTGTGATCATCAGCGCTTCTGCACTCAGCTGGGGCTTGTCCCAGTCTTGCCTCACTTGCTCACCTCTTGACCATGCTTGTACTCTTGCATATATATATACCTACTCTTGCTTGTTTAGCCTTATATATATATGTCTACTCCTGCATGTGAACTGGCCTTGTGGCCTTGACCTTGTGCTCGGACTGTGTGGTGACTTTGTGATCCACCCCGAGCTTGCTTTGATTTGCTTTGCTTTGCTTGACTGGTCTTGTGACCCCTTGTTCTCCCCCACTTTGCCTATGGGGGTGTGTCAGAACATATAGCTTTTGCATATTGTGTAGGCTATAGTGGGGTAGACCATAAGGGGTACAACCCAATTAGGGTTAGTACATGTACTCAGTTCATTCATAGTTGATTCATTCTTGCTCAACTCTTCTCAGAGGCAACGGTCGACCTCACGCCAATGCTGGTCGCTCCTCACAGTGAGGCCGCTCCCCAGCTTGCTGCAGGCAAACGCGATGTCCGGCCTCGTCGTCGTTGCGGCAAACTGCAGCGAGCCGACCTTCTGTCGGTACTCCTCCTCTTCGCGCTCCTGAGCCTCCTCGTCT